CGTCTGCGTCCTGGCCGCCGCGCTCTTCCCAGGTGAGTGGCCGGCGCCTCCGGAGCGAGGCTGGGCCCCCCTTTTCTTTCCGAAACTTTGCTTCGGGTCCCCAGTGTGTGTAGAAGAGCCCTGCCCTGCTGCGTGCCACCTGCAGCCAGGCAGCCCCTTCCCCGCCCTGCCCTGGCCCGGCGGCGTGTGCCCCGCTTCGGGAGGGCGCCTGGCAGCCCCCCGGGAGCCCCTTCCTGCCTGCCCCCCGCCGGCGTGGCGGAGGTGCCGCCTTGGCCAGCCGGAGCAGAGCGGTGGCTCGTGCCCACCAGCCCCGGAGCCCGTCTTATTATTTATTTGTGCTGCAGTCGCGCGCGTTGCAACCAGGACCCTTCGGCGCAAAGGCAGAACAATGCGCCGGGGAAGGTGGCAGAGGGGCTCCTCGCTCGCGCCGTGGCAGTGAATGGCCCGTGGGCTCGTGGACGAGCAGGAGAGCGTGGTCTGCCCTAGTCCTGAATCCAGAGAGGGTACTTTTCGAGGGCAGAAGTGCTGAGGGATCGGTGCAAAACTCCCTCGTCTGCCGCCCCTTTCCGAAAGAAATGCCTGTGGTTGCTGGAAAGGCTGGATGGGAGGCAGCTCGCAGGGTGGATGGGTGAGCACAGGCTGCCCAGTGAATCTCCCTCCTGCCCCAGGAAGACCTGTCCTGTCCGTCTTTTTTTTTTTTTCCTTGTTCCTCTCCCAAATGCATCCCCTCCCGTCTTCCGACAATGTTAGCTTTTTCTTATAAGGAAATAAAAGTTCCCTCCCATAAAAGCCCAACGAAGCCCCTTGTAAAATCTGCTCTGCAAATTGTCTTTAATGCAATCTGCTCAATTGCCCAGAACGGATTCAATTCAGGGTGCCTGCAGTCTACCATGTAAATCTGCTTTCTCGTCCGCCTGGAGCCATTACCAGGTATCGTGTCAGGCTGTCATAGTGGGGCTCCAGAGATGTTTATGCGAACAGGCCTTTTTAAAACCACAGGGTACCCAAAATCCTGAAGCATCTTGAGAGGTGGAGAGTCCTTGCAGATCCGCTCATGCCTAAAAATATGAACGCTTTATCTGTTTGCGTGCTGTAGAAATTGGTGCAGTTTGAGGCACAGTCACGCAGTCTCGTGGCTGAGGCAGGCGGCTGGGGATCAGGAGATCTGGGTTCTGCTTCTGCGGGTTTCCTGTGTGACCTTGGGCAAGTCCCAGCTGCCAAGCAGGGGCAGTGACACTTTCTGAGCTCACAGCGGGGCCTGGGAGCCTTGGCTTGTCCGGTGGTTTGAGATCTTCCGCTGAGAGGCGATGCAGAAATGCGTGATGCTTTCATGTTGCATTTTCCCACTTCAAAGGACCTTGATGGATGGTATCTGAGTCATGTCCAGCTGATAGTAACCTGGGGGCTTAGCTCAAATGGGACACTACGTTGCAATTCAAGGGGAAAGTTCCTTGCCAGGGAGATAGCAAGGCCTTCCTCTCGCCACGCTCCAGAAGGATTGGCCAGTTGTGCCCAAGCGCCATGTCTCCATTAGGTGCCTAAGGGATCTGGTCCGTGCTATGAGCTGAAGAGCAACAATTATGTCGTGAAGCACCTTCTAAAATGCTGAAGCCTGCAAACATCTCACTTATCATCTGGCTTGGGGGCCTGCGTGGTTTTTCTCCCTGTGCACTCCTGCGGTGTGACAGCAACCGGATTGGGCTATTTTTGGAACTGCGCTGGGGTGTTTTGCTGAGATTTCCTCCTTAAGCATCACTGCTGCGGTGGAGCCTAAATCACAGTGTCACAGGGCAGAGATTTTTGGGGAGAAACCAAGGTGGCTTTCTGCCACACAGCCTACCAACCGGGCTCCCGGCCCGCGTGCGGCTCGGGCATCCCAGCTGGAGTTGGACCAGACAGCGACTAGCCCGGAGGGTGCACTCCTGTGTGGGAGCCGGCCAAGCCGAATGGTTAGAAAAGGGGCTGGAGACTCCAGGTTTGGATGTCCGCGCTCTGCTTCTGACATGAGGGCAAGGCTCTTCACCTCCTCCGGGCTCAGTCGCCCCATCTGGATACAGGGGAACATCGTGCGTGTCCACTCCACGGGGGTGTGAGTCGATGTGCCGGCTGTGGAGGACAGCGAGGGGAGGAATTAGGAAGAGGCCAGGCTGGCTAAGGGGGTGATGATACTCGACCCTAGGGCAGCCTACGATGCATGTGGGCACTGGTCAGATCCGGGCATGACTTTTTCCCCTGGGGTCCAGCCTCATTTCCAGGGAGGACCCGGGGACCTGAGCCTGATGCTCGGGGCAGCTCTCTCACCAGAGCTGAGTCACAGGGGAACCAGAAGAGCTGGCTCCACTGACCTGCTTCCCAGGCTGGAGTTTAGCAGGCGACACCCTGGGCTGTCTCCCTCCTCCTCCGGTTGGATGGGGCGCTGCTGGGCGTGGGGGCCGACCCCAGATGCAGAGGTGCGATAGGAAGGGTGAGGAGGATCCTGGGAGGAGCGGCGGCTGCCCTGGCCGCAGTGACGTGATCCTGCTGTAGCTTGGGGAAATCCACTCATCACCCTTGGAGTGCACTGAGTCATTGGCAGGTGGGACTTCTCCACCAGCACAGCCAGAGCGCCAGACAGGAAGGCAAGGGGTGAAGGGCCGAGGCTGGAGGAGTGGGAGCTGGGGAGGCAGCACCTGGAGCACTGCAGGTGTGAATCTGCAGGTTTGCAGGGAGGTGCACGTGGCTGCTGGCTTCCCTGAGAAGTGTCCTGCTCCAGACCAGAGAAGCTCTTCCTTCATCTTTGAGCCAGGGGAGGTTTCTGCCTCTAGCTGGCCCTGGCTTTGCTGTCTGACCCCTTCCTGTCCCGTATGAGGAGGTCCCCGCTGCTTACCCCCATCCACTGCCCTGTGCTGGAGATGCTCTGCAGGGAGTGAAGGGCTTCGAGGAAGCCAGGAGGAAGGAGCAGAGGATGGAGTTGCGTAATGAGTGGGAGGTGGAGCTTATAGGGATCCTGGAAAAAAGCCCCTGAGTAGTTACTGAGGGGAGCCTGCCCCTCCCCTACCTTTGCAGCAAGGACCCAGCGAGAGCTCACGGAGACACTGCCATGTGCGTGTGGATACAGACATGCATGCACGTGTGGCAATACAGGCAGGGCTACGTCAGTGCATGTGGGCACAGCCGGGTGCGTGTGTGTGTTTGCATGTGCACACCAGAGGCATGTTTGTGAGCACGGGGTGGTGTGTGCTTGTGCATCTTTCTGTCCTGGCCAGAAGGCCTGTTGCTGGGAGAAGCAGAGAGGACTCCAGGCAGGGACGGATCCCCCGAGGACAAGTCCCAGCTCCCGGCTCAGGGCTGGCTGAGGCCAGAGCACAGTGATGCAGGACCAACTTGGAGTCGAGATGCTTGTTGTCTCCCTGTCCCGTCTTTGTATCACACCAGAGATAAGTCCTGTCAGGTCACAGAGCAGTACTCCCTGTGCTCCCCCCACCCTGGCCTCGTGGGCTGTGCTGAAAGGCTCCTTCCAGATCCCCTTACAAATGGAAACTCATTCAACTGAGAAAAGGAATCTCTTGATAAATCCATCTTGTTGACACCGGTAGCTGGTTTAAGCTCAGGCTTTTCTCTTTGCCTTCTGGAGGGCTAACAAGCCCACATGGAAGAAGGTTGTAATCCTGGTGAGGAGGCTGGGTAGGAGCATAGGCTCATCTGTGCAGACAGGTGCCCCTTTCAGCAGCTGCTGGCTTGGAAGGGGTTAACCAGTGGATGCCAGGGCCTGCTTGTGTATGCAGGGAGCTGGCTTTCAGCCTTCTCGGTGAATTCGGGTGTGTACTAAGCATAGTGTGTGTGTGTGTGTGTGTGTGTGTATCCGTGTCTGCATACCTCCTGCACTCCCAGACCCT